AAAATGATACACCTGAAACATCTATTGTCAGTATGCTTCTTTCCATTTTCACTGACACTATTCACTCAAGTCCTCAGTCCTTCTTGCTGGACTCACACTCCTTGCTAGCTTCCAGCCTCCTGTCTCTACTATTCTAACCCATCCTATGCATGAATGTCTCTTAAAGGTATGTGACTTTCCTACTCAGAAATGTTCAGTGGTAGAATTTTTAATGACATAGAAAAATAAAATAAAATTAATGAAAAAAAGCACAAGCTAAAACTACATACATATACTATAGCCTCAGTTATGTTAAAAAGCATGTCTGTGTATACGTATGGGCACACGCAGAAATGTACACACATATATCCCTACATAAAGGGAAAAGGGAGGGCCAGGAGACAAATGTAAACTGGTTATCTCTTAGTGGTAAGACTATGGTTATTTTTACTTTCTTTTTTATCTTTACAATGTGGTAAAATCTCTTTTAGTAAATAAAGTATATCTATAAACCCTCTAAAATGAACATATAGACAATGTTATAGTCACTAGAATACTTTTTAAAGAACATTTCACATGTTTCCCATTACCTATGAGTCTAATTCCTCATCTTCTAGAGTTCAAGGCCCTACTCAGTCCAGCCTCTCTCTCTCTCCTAGTCCCTTAATATAACCTGGGTTCCTTAAGGACCAGATTAGATCACTCACACTGTTCCCTGAGCATAGCTGTACTTTCAAACTCTGCTTGTTCCAAATGTTCACTTCATCTGGAATATGGTCCTTTTCCATTTCCACCCATCAAAAACCTATGTGTTCTTTAAGGTCTATTTTCAATAATCCAGAAATAGCAAACACTACCACACCCCTTTCCCTGGTCTACAACAGACAACACTATTTGAATCCAGACTCTGTCTCAAAATCCTCAATTCAACGGCCCAAGGCAATCTTTACTAATCAATCCACGTTGACATACAAAATGAAACTTATCTGCCATTCCTGTAACAATCTAATGTAATTGCCTCTTCTCCCCAACTCCCAAAGTTCTTTGTATTCTTTATGGAACTTATCTCCTCAGCCTTCTATCAAGACTCACTTATTTGGAGGGAGGGTACAGCTCAGTGGTAGAGTGTATGCCTAGCATGCATGAGGTCCTGGGTTCAATCCCCAATGTTTCCATTTAAATAAACAAACACACCTAATTATCCCCCACAAAAAAAAACCCCAAGAAAAAATTTAAAAGAATGACTTATTTAATTGTCGAATCTCCCTTTCCTACTAGATTTTAATCTGCACAAGGGCAGTGGTTACATCTTATTCATCTTCACATCCCCTACAGAGCCTTGTAGGAAGCAGGCACTCAAAACAATTGCTGAATTGAACACTTGTTCTTTTGCTATTATCTTATCAGTCAAAACGGCTAAATATTGAAAGCTTTATGCTAAAACAATGAAATTCTTCTTGAAAATCTAAGTTTATTTCATCAATTTTAGCTAATATTCCTACTTTAATTTAATAAGGCATTGTCTGTTATCACTTGATAACCAGGAGAGTCAAAAGATAGAACAAGATAAACTGACAATACTTTGAAAAAAAAAAAGATAAACTGAGATTAGAGAGCTGAACCCATTCACAGGGTCTTACATCCAAGTACGGAAGCTACTGAATTCAAACCACCACACTTTTGGGGTTTTGTAGCAATCTCCTTTATCAAAAGCAAAATGTTATTTCTGACACTAGAGAAACTGCAGGACTCTGAGCATCAACAATATATATTGGTTAAGAAAGAAATTTTTTAAAAAAGATGGAGAGATGAAAAGATAAAGCAAAAAGCTAAAAATCAAGTAAGGCATCAACAAAGTTAGGTAAGTAGTATGGTAAAGTCACAGGAATTTGTAACTATATCAGAAACCCAGTTCAAGAGATTTGGGTAGAAAAGAAGCCGGAAATACAGTAAGACTCATGCTGCCACCTAGAGGTTAAAGGCTGGTGAAAAATCATTTTTCTCCTTGACTGATCAGGTACAGTTAATTTAACTTTTAACTATTATAGACAGAGGTACAGGTCTTACAAAGTAAGCCAGTCAAAGAAGTCTGATGTCAGGCCACAATGAAGACTATCCAGGGTGTAAAAGTTCCAGTTATTCTCTCCCTGCCCTCCTTCCTAGACTAAAAGAATAAATTAACAGATCAAACTGTTCTTCAGAATTTTATCTAGATGAAAAACCATTTCTAAATACAAATGGCCACTTTTTCAAAAATCACATACCTTGAGGGTGAAAAAGTCCTCTTTACCACAGGCTAGCTTGGAAGCAGAAGTTTTCCTTTGGTACCACCACCAAAGAAAGTTATACCAAATAGGTTCTGGTGCAGACAACTTTATCAATGTAGACTACCAGGATGAAACATCAGGTCTAAACGGGGACATCTCAATCTTTTGATAACAAAATGTTCCTTTTAAAAAACTAGTGATTAAATTTAGCCAAATAACAGTTCTACTAAAATAGCTATATGAACATACAGGATTAGACAGACTATAAATCAGAAGTGTTACCAAACCCAAGTTCACATGCCTGATATGCAGTGAGGCCAAACAAACCAAACACTGGAGGTTGTATGTTTATTACTTATTAGTAGTATTTTATTTTGGTGGGGGTGGGAGAGGTAATTAGGTTTAATTTAATTTTAGAGGCGGTACTGGGGATTGAACCCAGGATCTCATGCACTCTAAGCACACACTCTACTACTTGAGCTAACCCTCCCCACCTGAACAGTGGAGTTTGAAGCAGAGAAGGGTGTATTCCAGGGCCAAGCAAGGAGAATGGGTGGCTCATGCTCAAAAACCTCAAACTCCCTGATTTTCAGGGAGTTTTTATAGGCAAAATTTGGGGTGAGGACTGCAGGGTGTTTATGGCTTTCTTCTAATTCATTGGTGGTGAGGTAACAGGGTGGTGTTACAGGAATCTTGTGCTCAGCCTGAAGTTACCATCCTCCACCTGGGTGAGGGACTTAGTTTCTGCAGAACTCAAAGGTATTCTCTTTTGGATATTCCTTAAGGAGGAACCGAGACCCTGTCATAGGCTGCATTATTGTTTCTTGACTGCTCCTCCACTGTTTCTGCATTCCCTCCCTTCCCTGATAAGCAATCTGCCCTTTGGAACTCAGGGAAGGTCAAGGAGGCTGAATGAAGCATATTTCCTACAAATAAGAAACAGGGGACACAGAAAGGATTTGTACCTAGGAGTGTCCACAGTGGTTCTACTCCATTTCAGAAGCAACTACTTATATCAAAATAAGCTAAATTTCTTAAAGCTTTTTTAGACAATAATATTCTCAGTCTGATCTTATTTACTAATAACTTTTTAGTTAATCATTTTTTATGTAGTGCAAAGGTAATTTCAAACCAGTTTTAAGTATATAAATATAAATCAAATTGAGATTTTTATTATATGGTATATGGTGAAGTGTAATCAAGAACAAAGGCATCAAATTCAACTTCTTCATGATAAAAACACTCAACAAACTAAGAATAAAAGATAACATCCTCAATCTGACAAAGGGCATCTACAAAAATCCTAACATTGTACTTAATGTTTTCTCTCTAAGATCAGGAGGAAGACAAGAATGTCCACCCTTGCCACTTCTATTCAATACTGTACTGGAGTTTCTAGCTAAGGCAATTAGGAGAAAGAAAGGAAAGGAGAGAAAGAGGGAGGAAGGGTGGAAGGGAGGAAGAAAGAAACGAAGGAAGGAAGGAAGTGAGAAAGGAAGGGAGGAAGGAAAGGCATCCAGATTGGAAATGAAGAAGTAAAACTATTTGCAGATGACATGGTTCTATATATAGAAATTCTTAAGTAATCTACTAAAACACAATTAGAACTAATAAATGAGTTCAGTAAAGTTGCAAGATGTAAGAGCAATATATAAAAATTAATTGTACTTCTCTATAGTACCAATGAGCAAACTGAAAATGAAATTAAGAAAATAATTTCATTTACAATAGCATCATAAAATAAAAATACTTAGGAATAAATTTTAACAAATGAAGTATAAAACTTATACTTTGAGAACTACAAAACATTGTTCAAAGAAATTAAAGAAGACCTAAATAAACAGAAAGACAAACCACATTCATGAATCATTTTAATTTTATTTAAATTGCAATATTCCCCAAACTGATCTACAGATTTAATGCAATCCCTACTAAAATCCCAGGTGACTTCTTTGCAACAACTGACAAGTTAAAATTCCTATGGAAATTCATAGGAAACAGAATAACCAAAAACACTTAAAAAAGAACAAAGTTGAAAAACTTATACATCCCAATCTCAAAACTTACTACAAAGCTACAGTCATCAAGACAGTGAGGTAAGAGCATAGAAATATAGGTCAGTGGAATAGAACTGAGAGTCCAGAAATAAACCCTCGTGTTTATGATCAATTGATTCTTTTTAATGGAGGTACTGGGGACTGAACTCAGGACCTCATGCACACTAAGCATGTGCTATATGACTGAGCTATACCCACCCCCATTATGATCAATTGATTTTTGACAAATATGCTGAGAGTTCAATGGGAAAAGCCTTTTCCACAAACGGTACTGAAACAACTGGCTATCTATATACAAAAGAATGAATATGGATCCCTACTTCACACCATATACAAAAATTAACTTAAAATGTATCAAATACCTAACTATAAGAGCTAAACTATAAAACTCTAAGAAGAAAACATAGGCATAAATCTTCAGGACCCTGGATTAGGCAATGGTTTTTATGGTATGACTTCAAAATACAAGCAACAAAAGAAACAACTGATAAATTGGACTGCATAAAAATTAAAAACTTTTGTGTCTCAAAGAATATCATCAAGAAAATAAAAAGACAACCCACAGAATGCAAGAAAACTTCCTGAAAATCATGTATCTAATAAGTGACCTGTTTGTAGAATACATAAAGAACTCTTACAACTTAATAATAAAAACACAAATAATCCAATTTTTTAATGGGCAAGGGATCTGAATATAGTTCCCTAAAAAAGATATACAACTAGCCAATAAGCACATGAAAACATGTTTCATGTCATTAGTTATCAGGCAAATGCAAATCCAAACCACATACCCGTTCCACTTCATATCTACTAGAATGGATTATATAATTATTTCTTTATTTATTTACTGTACATTTAAAAAAATTGAAGTATTTACAATGCTGTGTTAGTTCCAGGTATATGTGTGATAATTTTTTTTGAGCTTTTATATTTGAGTTTATTCTTTAGTTAACTTAATGGAATCTTCACAAATTTGCATGTCATCCTTGTGCAGGGACCATGCTAATCTTCACTGTATCATTCCAATGTTAGTATATGTAAAAACAAATAATTAGAAAGGATGTAGAGAAACTGGACTCCTCATACACTGCTGGTGGGAATGTAAAATGGTGCAGCCAGTATGGAAAATAGTCTGACAATTCCTCAAAAGGTTAATTGTAGAGTTTCCACATGACCTAGAAATTACACTACTAGTTATAAACTCAAGAGAATGAACACATATGTCCACACAGAAACTGTACATGAATGTTTAGAGTAGTATCATTCATACTAGCCAAATAAAGGAAATCCCAATTGTCCATCAACGAGTGGTTAAATATCATGTGGATAACTGATGGATAAATGTATTATTAGACCATAAAAAAAATGAAGTATTGATACATCCTACAAAATAACTGAACACTGAAAATAAGAAAGAAACCAGTCACAAAAGACCACATATTATATGATTCTGTTTATAATGAAATGCCCAGACTAGAAATTCAGAGACAGAAAGCATATTAGCGGTGGCCTAGCCTGTGAAGTTTGGGGAGACATGCAGAGTGACTGGTAATGGGTACAGAGTTTCTTTTAGGGTAATGAAAATGTTCTAAGATTGATTGTGATGGTTGCACAACTCCAAATATACTAGAAATCACTGAATTGCATCCTATAAATAAGTGAATTATAGGGTACATGAATCACATCTCAATATAGCTGTTATAAAAAAGGAAAAAGAAGAAATGCATCAGAACCCCAGTCTTTACCCTTGGTTTCAAACGGCATGACCTGCTGCTTTCCCAATCTCCATTCTACTTAAAAATATTTTGAATATAGCCAGTAAGTAGGCATCTGAATGACCACTAAAAGGTTTGTAGTTTCCAGAGACAGGGGGAGAATTTTTTTTTAAAGCATAAATATTGTTGAGAATCAGTACTCAGTAGGATTTATAATAGTTCAATGGGTCTTAGGAATAAAGCAAGCTATGAATTGTTGCAAATTACAAGACTAAATCAAGATCATGCTCAGATCATAATAGCGATGGAATAGGGTAGGTAAATGATAAAACCAAACTATTATCAATAATCTTCACATTATCTTTACTATGTGTGGTTGATCATCCACTGTTGTAAGAGAAAAATTCCAGACATTATGAGACCTTCAAATGTTACTTCTCATCACTAAAATACAAACTACCCAGAAAAAGAACAATTTCCAGAAGCTTCTACCTTTTCAGTTTTAAGTCCACGGATTTCATTTAAAATAATCTGTCATTTCATCTAAAGGCATCAGCAGCTGATCACTCATTCAATCAGCAAATACACACTGCACATTTACCATATGCCAGGTAAATGTGGGCTACAAAAACAGCTCAAAAATATGATTCTTCTCTTAAAGAGTTAACAATCAATGCAAGAGAGAAAACATATACCCCAAATCTCCCAGAATGGTAAAAGTACCATACAAATGAAACAATCAAATTGCTCTAGGAGCAATGTAGGCGACCAGGACAGAGAGTTCACTTTTCAGATCAGGTATAAAAAGGAAACATTGATTAAAGAGGTAGATTCTGACTAAATAATGATGGGCAAATAAAAGTTCTAATAGGTCAGGGAGGGGTTTCTGAGAAAAAGGAATAGCATGAATAGAATTTAAGAAGATGGGGAAGTGTTCTGGAAGTATATTTCAAATGGGGACAATGCATGATGTTTGGGTAGGGGAGAAGTAAAAAGGCTAGACATTACACTAGGGCCAAGTGCAGAGGATTCTGAATACCATACTAAGGAATCTAAATTTTAGCGTATAAATAATGAAGTATTACTACTGACTTAAGGGCAAAGGACAAACAGAAGCAAATGGTACTTAAGAAAAATTAGCCTGGTAAGTGGTAAACAAGATGGACTAATATGAAGTAGTTGAGAGGCAGGGAGACCAGTTAGAATGTGACTACAATAGCTCCAGTAAAACAGGAAGGACACTGAACTCAAGTGGAAGTAACAGAAATGGACTTTATATGGTTAAGTAGTTTTTTATATTTCTGTATGTTTCATGGGAATTTCATATAAATTAACTGCCCAAATCAAGCAAAAGGGCCCCAACCATGAAATGCTATAAATACCTATACAAAACATCACTGCATTCCAAAATCTGCACACCAAAAGGGTTATCTGAGACATAATCACATACCAAATCAAAGGGCAGGGTTCGGGTTCCAACAGACACAATCTAGTTTCTATCAACCCTAGAAGGTTCACATTATTTCTATACTAACATTTAACAATGCTCTAGGGAAGTGGCAAACAATCATGTTTGTGAGGACAAATATTTTTTGCATTTTTTTTCTTCCCATCATCTTTATCAGAGCAGATATTTGCATGAAAACAGGATCACTGGTCCTTGGGGATTCATCAGTTCCTATTGCTTATTTTTCATCCATGTCATCCTCTCAATTAATGCAGGAAAGAGGATTGAGACATCGAAACACCAGATTAGGGTGTCAAGTAAATGTCAACCCCTAGAGTAGATGAATAATCTGTAAGGACAAAAAAAAGATCTTGTTTTTATGCAAATACACTATACACAATAAAACAAAGAGAGACCATATCCAAGAAGTCGAATACATATCAATGTAATTCTTTCCAATTCTAAATTTAAAAACTATTGTCTATATGTCAGCTAATTGTTACAATCAAGGAAAATGACAATCAGTGGCAAAGCACTGCTACAGAAGTTGAAATAAGGCTGAATTTTAAACTATAAAATAATTTTGAAAAATCTCAGCTGTGATCATGGGACTCATTGGCAGAAACAAGCGTTTCTACTGCAGAATTTTGGTTCCATGCATAAGGTCACTGACTTAGGTGACTTTAAATCCTTACCTCCAAAGCCTTAAGTTTTAGAAATATAAAAACTTAATAGTAATAATGATTTTAACTGTGTGGATTAAAAACTAAAACAAACCATACCAAGTTTCTGATTCTGTGAAAAACCCTTAAAATAGATTTATTGATCCTCACAGAACTGACTCATTATTCTAAAAACTGATAAACAAAAAGAATCATTTATTCAGTGAGAACAGCTTTCAAGGTAATAAATAACAAATAGTTGATAAGATATTCACAGAAAAATTCTAGCTAATAAGAAGGAATGACAGGATTAGTATATTACCATTTTGCAACCTATAATAAAATAGTGAATCTAGGCAGTTTTTAAAGGCTGCTAAAACTCTGGGTGTAAGACTGATGGAGAATTTTACAATGAATAATAGATCAGGCTAACAATACATTATCAATAAATTAATCTTAGTATTACAAAGAGAGACAAGCAGATACGATGAACCCTTCTAATGAACGTATGCAATATCATTTATGAGATATTTTTGCCAAAATAAAAATAAAAATCAATCCTGTATCTGTGCAAGCTTCTGTATCTAAATTCCAGGAAATAAAAAGGAATAGATGAACATATCAACTGCTTCCCCAGGGATGTAAGCAACAAAATCCAGAATGTGGAAAATTCTATAGAACAAACTACTAGATTTAATAAATGATAAGAGAAAATAAAAAGGAGGTAGAACTATGACAGATTAAAGGAGACTTAAGAGTCATATCAATCAAATACAGTACCTTGTTTAAATCCTGATTCAAACAAACTAACTATAAAAAGACAATTATAAGTCAACTAGGGAAACCTGAATTGTGATTGGCTATTTGATAATATTAAGCAAAAATTTTTAGGCATAACAATGGAATTGCAGTTACATTAAAAAAAAAAGAAGAAGAGAGAGAGTGTCCTTGTCTTCTGGACTCATATATGAAGTTATTTGGTAGTGAGATAATACAATGACTAAGATAATTATGGATGTTAGTATAAGTGAAACACATTGGTCACATGTTGACTATTGAAGCTGAGTCATGATTATATGAGGTCAATATTCTACTCTCTCTCCTTCGGTATATTTTAAAATATTTTCCATAATAAAAATTGGGGGTAAGTGCTTCATTATCTTTCTCAGTAGGAAAGCAGAAAAAGAAAAACAAATCAGAAGGAATATAGTAATCTACAACTAACTAGAGACAATATTGTTGATAAGTACATTTGGTAATATATCATCCTCTTAATACAATGAGCATAAACTTTTATTTCATAAGAAAAACTGACCAGAGAGATAAAGCATTAATCACTATGATCATTACAGCAAATATTATCCAGAGCTAGAAACAGAATCAAGTTCTGTACTATACCAGCCTCGCATTCATGAATTTAATAATCACAGATTTGCCTTTTCATTATAAACCCTTGAGGTCAATGATATACATGGAATTAGTAATTTTGCCAAGACATAAACTTTAACTACAGGAAATTAATGACTAGGACACAGCGGAGTTAGGTAACAGTGAGTGAACCTAGCAGACCACCCAGCAACCATATCTCTGCTCCTTAATTCACGAAGTGAGTTAAAAAATGTTTTCTTGAAAAAAGAACATCAACTGCTAATGACAGTAATGGAAATAAAGATAAGATAAAGAGGACTAAGGACGTGTTGATTATTAGTCAAAAAACAAAGTTTTATATTAAATTTTAAAGTGAAATATTGAATTTGGCAGTAAAATCAATGATATGAACAAATCCACCATGTGTTCTATAAACAAGAAAAACAATTTATCAAACTCTTGTTGGGATTGCACTAATCAGTGAAAAACTTGCATTTTTGAAGAAAATTATAAGCTCCAGTAGCTTCCCAAAATTGTGGATTTATGAAGGTCTGAGGAGGTACCTACCCACTGAGAACAAAGCTCTAACCACTGTATGTATGTATGTATGTATGTATGTATGTATGTATGTATTTATTTATTTATTTATTCATTTATTTCAATTACAATTCTACAATTCCTTTTCCAGTTTTAGAATGGTTATAGTATGAAAAGAGATAGAGTTTATAAAGAAATAATTTTAAACTAAAAGAATGGAGAGCAGACAGGAATAAATGAGAACTTTAAAAGCATTACTCAGAGTGACAGATTACATTCTTGTCTGCTACATATCCCTTCCTTTGGGGAACCAATCCTCCCCAACTGCATTCCATGTGATTTGAGTTGGACTAACCATTCCAATCTGAGTCTGCACCCAGGGCCCAGGCCTGGCCCATCTCAGTGCTCTGTGCTACTAGGCTAAAGGCCTGGTTCCAGGATAGGTACGTGACAAAAGATGGAACAGTCAAGAATCCTTCTCAGGACCCTTCTTTCGGAAAGTTCAGAAAAGATGTTCTTTCTTTTGGGACTATGAGATTTAAAGACATATAAACTAGAGATCCTTTTGGCTACCTTCCCCAGTGCTAGATCAAAGAATAAGATTATTGCATGAGTGAAGCAGAGACTTGAAATGAAAAACAAAAGCAAGAACAAGAGCATATTCCAAAGACATCATTAAGAGTCATGGATCTAGATATGCTCAAAGCTATTTCTACTCCTAGAATTTTGATTAATGTGAATACAATCCTTCTTTTGCTTAAGCTAATTTGATTTGACATTCTATCACCTAAAACTCTAAGAGTTTCCAATATACTTCCACTGTACAGAGAAAAATAACTTATAACCTAGTAATAAACTCAGTAACAATTCTGGCACACTGTATCATAAAAGGCACATTTTAGATTACAGTGGTTTTTTACCTTTAGAATGTCTAATAAACATACTTCCTGAATTATGCAGAACTCATCATAAAATATACAACACGCAACCCTGAATAAATGTGATCTGGGTACTCACACTCATCCAGCCCCAACTGATAGGCCAGGTTCTGAAGGCCTCGTACTTTCTCCATCAAATTAGCTGTGGTGAGGCTCCCCAGTTCTGAAACAAAATCATTTATTTCAATACCATGTCTTTTCACTGCTTTCTAGTAACAACTCATTTGGTTGCGAATCCTTGTTATACAGTTTTCAAGTTTAATTCCTATAAAATAAGTAGAAAATGGATCCATCTCTCTTCTCATCCAGTCATTCCCTCTACACACATACACACACACCCACTTAATGAGAATAGACTTAGTAGAAATATAATAGCAAATTATGTAATTTATCCTGAGGATCCTTTTATAGCATTTATTTTGCCTATCATACAAAATGAATACACCAATAAAATATGAAAACTTGTAATCTGATATCGCATTGAGAAAGCCTACAGACAGCAGACAGATCACTGCCTTAGGAAATGGACATTATCTCCACTGTCACTTATATGTCCTTATTATGCTAATTAACAATTAAAAAGCAACACAACACTTACTGTTTCTCATTTCTCTAGGTTTAGAAAACAAAGATTAAATACTAATTCAAACTTTACCTTCAAATCAGATTCCTATAAAAAAATTTTAAATTTATCAGATAAAAAGATAGTATATTTAAAAACTTACTTTCCTAGATTTTCATTTAAATAACACCTAATTCCTTTCAGGTTTAAGACACAGGTCAATTTGAACGGAACATAATGATCTGATCTCTTATTAAAACTTTAAAGTTTCCTTAGAAAATATATGCTGATGGAATATTGGAACATTAGAAAAATGAACTCGAGATGCCCTTGAGACTTAATTTTTCCGTGGTTGGAGGAGGGGATCTGCTTTTAAGATTTCATGCAGAACAACGAATTACTTCTGAAATCAAATAAAGGTGTTATTTTCTCCCACTTATCATGCCACACTTATTATCTCTATCTGGCATAAGGAGACTTTCTTGATCTGTTCAGCTGCTTAAATAGCTTAAGAATCCCAGATTTTTACCTTAATTTCAGTTTATTGCTTCACAACCATCATGAATCATCAGCAGAAGGATAAAGAAAATTAAATAAATAAAGTAGGGCAAAATCAAGGAAAATTAATGTTTTTTAATTTAAATTTCTACTTTGTGGTTGAGTTTCAAGTCATTTATCAAACAACAATATTCACTACCTACAGTACTCTTTATGGGAGAAATTGATGAGATAGAAAGAACTAAAAGACAGGTCTTAACCCACTAAGGGGTTGTCAATTAATAGTACTGACAACAATATATAGCAGTAAATCCTAAATAAGGCACTTGTGTTATAGCAGTAAGAGACTAGTCTTAAAAGATCAGAGTTTAAATTTTAACTCTTTCTAACAAATCTTGGTTAGGTTAACCTGTGAACCTTATTATTATCATACCTAAGTCACAGGGCTTTTATAAGAATTAAGTGAGAAAATTTATGTGAGAGTTCTTTGTTAACTCTAAACATTATACAGAATAAAGTTAATATTAAAGGAATTTAGCAGCAAAGAAATCATTTTGATTGAGTCTTGAACTGGCATGATTTCTACACATGGAAAAGGAGAAAAAGACATTTAGACATGAAGAACTATGAATAAGGACAGTTAAATAGGCAGTTTGAAGCCAAGAATACTTGTATGGGAATAGTGAGAGAAAAACTGGAAAGGTGGTGTGTGGAGGAGCATAAGTGTCAGGTTAAAGGTCAGAGGTCACTAGCAGTGTTTACCTTTCAACATGTCGATGTCATCACGTTCTATTTCAGCCATCCATTTGGGTGGAGAACTAGTAATAGGCTGTCAGAATATAAGAACATATCCATTCAGATACAAGCAGAGTATGAAGAGACCCTACTCTTCCTTCATATAAGAAAAGGAGTTTGTCACATAGCCTTCAGGTTGTTTGAAAATACTGGCAAATTATAATTTCAAAGACTCAGATTTCTCCAGGTTCAGATATGGCCAACAAATGGGAGACTTACAAAATACTACTACTCATCTTTAAAAGCTGGTTTCGGTGAAAGGGTTAGGTCAAATGATAGAGCATGTGCTTAGCATGCATGAGGTCCTGGATTCAATTCCCTGTACCTCCTCTAAAAATAAACAAACAAACAAGCCTAATTACCTCTCCCCTCAACAAAAAAAATTTTTTTAATTAAAAAATAATAGCTGGCTTCAAAGAAATGATTTTGGAAGAATTAGGTCTGACTACTGTTACTGCTGTTATGTATAACAGGCTAGTATAAATGTGAAAGAAATTACTTGAAATTCAATACTGGTGAAAGCCTCCAACTGAACTGTCTGCAACAATAATAAGGAAGTAACATTCTCTGACAGAGAAGATTCAAAGAAGAACCAAGAATGAGAAAATCTTCAACTTGAACAAGAGAAGGCTAGAATGATCACCACTTAAAATTTTATCTTATTGTAAACATTTTAGAAAAACTTCAGAATTGTAATTTATCTTCTCATTTCTGAAAGTGAGCTTACAAAATATGAAAGAGAGCCCATTCCTGGAATAGCATTGGGGTAACAAGTTTTCAGTCCTGGCTGCACATGAGAATCATCCATGTAATGTTAAAAAAAAAAAATGACCCAACCATAACCCAGATGTACTAATTTAGAACATCAGGGGTTGGGAGAGGGTCCAGTGGAGAGAACAGAGCAAGGGCATTACATACGTATTTTTTAAAAGCTCCACAGCTGCACACTAAGGATTCTGTTGAACAGGTAGCGGTACAATTAAGAAACATTGCTTCAACTTTGAGCCCCTTTCCTTCCCTTTTTTAAAAAACTGAGGTATAACTGACATTATTATTAGCTTCAGGTGTACAACATAATACTATAATTGTATATATTGTGAAATGATTGCCACGATAAATCTGGTTAACATCCATCACCATACATGGTTACAAATTTTTTTCTTGTAATGCGAATTTTTAAGATCTATTCTCTTAGCAACTTTCACATATGCAATACAGTATTATTAACTATAGTCACCATGCTGTACATTACATCTCAGGACATGTTTATTCCTTTTCCTTTTTTGCAAATTAACATTTATTTGGCACTATGTGACAAGCAAAACACTTTACATGCATCATGTCATTTAATCTCCAAATCAACTCTATGAAGAAGGTATTACGTCCTCTTCATTTTACAAATGAAAAAAACAGATGTAAAGGAAGGTTATAAATCACTTGCTTTGGGTTACACAACTATTGGAGCCAGGATTCAAAACCCATGAAGTCTGAGTTCAGAAACCACTGCTCTATACTACTTCTCCTAGAAGGCTCTAGATTCAAATTCACCACTTCTGCCCCCTAGTAGGGAATCAGACTGTACCAGGCGATCTTCACTGGGGCCCTGGGGTGGCCCTGAACCCTTAGAAGCAAAACTCAATATGTATGTGCATACTTCTAGGGAAAAGGTATAGATATGTCCTCAGATTTTTAAAAAACACAATACTCTAATAAAAGTTTTTTTAATCATTTATTTATATTTACAACTTAAAGTAATTAGTTGAAACCAAATATAATTAACTAAACTAAAAACTCAGTATGAATGAGAATGTAACATTAAATCAGATACTTTCTATTCAATCTACTAGGCAAATGCTGATCTAGTAATAATAGCTACCGTGTATTGTTTACTAGTCCTTGGCTCTATGCAAAGTATTTCACATGCATTATGGCATTTTACACTAAGAATTCTATGAGGTGGTTTCAAATGAGAAAACTGAGGCTCAAAAATGTTAGGAAACTTGCTCAGGTCAGAGACAGTGAAGTAGCAGATTCAGAACTCAAATCTGAGTATGTCTCATTCCAAAGCCCTACCCTCTCCTGCATTCCTCACGCTTAGTCCTTCCCAATGCTAAAGGAATGCAGCCCAGCTTTCATACAACCCTAGCTCCTGAAAAACTGAAAGAGGCTACAAAGTCACACTCCCTCTGAACAAATACTCTCATAGGACCTGAAAGCCACAGGCTCAGAAAGGCCTTAATATTTAACTCAGCATCTTTAACCTGAACAATGAGTATAGAGTGCTAAGCATATAGTAAGGTACTGAGAGAGTTATATTACAACTACCCGATTTGTTAATAGAAAGAACATAAGGTTTTGAATCAGACAATTCTGTTTCAGATTCTGGCCTATCACTCACTAGGGCTTGGGAAGTAACTTCCAAGTTTCTCTGTCAGTCAGTGCTTTCAATATTGGGCTCAAATGCTGCTAAATATGGTACAAAGAGTGTGGGCACAGAACACACTCTCAACCATACACAAAAATAAACTCAAAATGGCTTAAAGACTTAAATATAAGACATACACCCCAATGTTCACAGCAGTACTATTTACAATAGCCAAGACATGGAAGCAACCTAAATGTCCATTGACAGATTACTGAATGAAGATGATGTGGTATATCTGTACAATGGAATACTACTCAGCCTAAAAAACAATGAAGTAATGCCATTTGCAGCAACATAGATGGACCTAGAGATTATCATACTAAGTAAAGTCAGTCAGAAAGAGAAAGACAAATACCATATGTATTACTTACATGTGAAATCTAAATATGACACAAATGAACTTATTTACAAAATAGAAACAGACTCACAGACATAGAAAACAAACTTATGGTTACCAAAGAGGAAAGGGGATGGGGGAAGGCTAAATTAGGAGTTTGGGATTAGCAAATACAAACTACTATACATAAAACAGATAAACAACAAGGTCCTACTGTATAGCACAGGCAACTATATTCAATATCCTACAATAAACTACAATGTAAAAGAATATGAAAAAGAATATATGTATAACTGAATCACTTTGTTATACACCAGAAACTAACACAACATTGTAAATCTACTTAAGAAAAAAAAAGAGTATGGACACTAGTAATTAGACTAATGAGTTCAAAGACTGTTTCTGTCATATATTTATAGCCTATAACTTTGGGTAACCTACTTAACCTCTCTGTGCCTATTTCCTTGTCTGTAAAATAGAAATAATAACAGCAACTATACTTCATATGGTTTTGTGAAGATTAAATAATACACATAAAGTGCTTAGAATAGTGCCTGGCATATGGTATGCATTATGTATGTGCTAGTTAGTATTATAATCATATTTTCCTGTTGTGGGAATACATAAGAGAACATATTTAGAGCATCTAGTACAATGCCTGCTGCCCTGGAAGTAGGAAAGTTGTGGCTCTAATGGATGTCTTCCTTCAGTTTATGACGAGCCACTGAGAAATTTCAAAATCCTCTAGGTAGGTATAAGTTAAAGTCATAATGCATCATATAAACAAAAGAGAAAAGCTTCAAAATAATAGTTTGGGCAAAAAAGAATACTGGTGTTACATTAAATATTTCAATTGCCTTACTTTAAAATCTGTTAAGCTGAGAGAAGAGGCTAATAGTCAAAGGTCAAAAATACCAAAATAGAGCATTAACATCCTTAACATAATGATAACATAAACAGATGTCCTGAGCTGTAGTTACAAAATATTTTGAAGGCTATGACGTTATTCTTGAAAGTAAAGAAATAAGAGATATTTGAGATTTCACCCAAGAGCAAAATGTTGGGAAAACTTCATTAAGTAAGTAAGATATTACTTACGCTTTTGAAAGAAGCTGCAAATTCAGCAACACCTGGTACTAAAAAGAAGAAATACAGTATTAGTCAGGTAATAAACATTTTAGTTTCCCTTACATGGAAGACTCAAGCAAGAAAACAGCCTTATCTCCAAGAAGCTTACAATCTGGAAGAAGAGAAGGAGTAAATTAATAATTATAACATTTTTTAAGAGCTTCAAGAAAAACACCAGGTCTTATGGGAGGACACAAATTAGAAATCTAAATCAGACTGAGGAGGCAGGGAAAGCTGCTGAGAGAAAATAAAGCCTAAACTGAATTTGAAGGATCAGGAGTTAGGTGAATGAGAGGGTGGTGAGATACCATATCTTTTACCAAAAAGTTTAAATTTCCTTTTTAGGTATGTATGTTATTCTGTCAATCTAATTGTTTATTTAAATATCTCACAGAAAGAATCATATTTAAAAAAACAGAAGAATAAAACTCAGATATTTAAAAATAAAGTTCTATCTCACTAATAAAGAAATACAAACTAAAAACAAAGATCAGTAACATCAAATAATGGCTAGTATGTAAGGAAATGGGCACTCTCATCCAGTCATCCTCTTCCGCATGCACAAAGATAAATGTGCGAGTATATACATTGCTAAATTGTTTGTAATATCAAAACGTGGATATAATTTAGGTTTCCAAATGAATTATGAATAAACTATATCTACACAATAAAATACTTTAAAAGATATGAAGATCCATATCTATGTCTATCAATATGGAAAGATCCATTAAAAGATTACTAGGTGGATTAAGTTAAGCTGTAGATCGCTGTACATCTGACTCCATCATAACAAAACAAAAAACTCAAAAGTATGTATTCACCCATCTGTATAAGCATAAAAAATGTCCAAAATACCTGTACTAAACTGTAACAGCAGTTAACTTTTATCAGAGTACTTCAAGAAGGTAAGGAATTATTTTATGTACCTTGTATTGTCTGGCTTATTACAGTTGGGGTTTTTAAAAGTAAGTTTTAAAGACTCCCTATCATTTAGAGAATCACACTCTGCTCAGAAAAAATTAAACAACCAGACAGCTATTCTTAACACCAGAACACAGAATTCAGTCTCTTCTTCTTGAAGTAAAATTAAAATTGTAATCATTTCAGTTAAATGATAACTCTTCAAAAATCTACCTGAAGTGGTTTTCCTGCATCAATTTTGACATAAAGTAACCAAAAACTTACATTGTTCTGGCCAAAGGTCTGGTGAAGCACGGTCAAGCTTTTCAAAACTTAGCAAAGATGCTTCCAGATCTGTCCCTAGAACAAAACACCAAAACACCCAAATGAGCCAAGAAGACACAAAACACATTAATTTATATTTTATGACACGTCACTCTCAAAGAACATAACAAGCTGGAACACTCACCTGGAAGTTTAGAGACTGAGTTCTAATACTAATGATGCTACTGGATCATGATGTTATACAAATAAATCATTTCCCTCATCAAACCTCACTTTTCCCATCTCTAAAATGGGAACAATATTTTAGTGAGGTGTTAGAAAAAAATGAATGTCAACAAACCCAACTGTATCTTTATTCATACCCTTAGACTTTCGTCTAGTTACAATCAATTAAGTCTCCCTGCTCCCAAGAAAGACAAACTCCTCTGCTAGGGCTCTGAATTCCATCTTGTTTTGCTCTGTCAAAGACAGTATCTTGAATAATCTCTTGCACAACCAGCTTCTACCTTTTCTACTGGCTCATACTCAACAGCAAGTAAGCCTGCTTTAGAATTTCCCTTCTTTGAAGAAACTCTTCCTTGACCCCATGATCTCCTCACTCCTTCACTGCAAAAGTTCTTGAGTTGTCTATCCTGCTGTCCCCACTTTCTCACCTCAGTCTCTCCTTAACCAACAACAAACAGGTTTCTGTCCCTACATACATGAAAGTGGCTGTTGTCAAGATTATCTATGACCTATTTTGCTAAATCCAGTGGTCACTTCTCTGTTTTCTTATGTGACCTCTTTGCAGCATCACACACTGATCACTCTCCTTCAGACACTCCACTTCCACTATGCTGGTTTCCCTCCTTCCTCACTGACGCCTGCAGTCTCCTTTTCCACTCAGGGCCCACCTTAGGCTGGCTTCACTCTCTACCCAAAGTCTCGTAAGGACATCTCATCTCGTCCCACAGCCTTTACCATCATTTATAAGCCAATGACCCCATACTTCTCTTTCCAGCCTCAATCTTTCCCCAAACTTCAGGGTTATACATTCAGTGGCTACTTGACATCTCTCTCTATTTACATGTATGAAAAACCATATTCTCCCAGTCCTCTCCATCCCAAGAAATAACACACCATCAACCTCAGTTCTCAACCCAAAAACTCAGGTCATCCTTCTCCCATCTGTCTCCCATTCCTTCACCCTTCCATAACCAATCTATTAGTAAATCCAGTAGTTTCTATCTCCAAAACACACCCTGAAATCACATTAATTAACCAAGGAACCATCACTTCTCTCCTGGACTACTCCAACAACCTCTTAACAGGTCTCCCTGCTCCCATTCTTACCTCTTCCCCTTCTTACCCCTAAGTGTATTCACCACAAAGTAGCCAGAACAGTTTTTTTTTAATGTCAACCAGTTCATGTCACTCTCCAGCTGAAAGGACTTCTTCCCAGCTAAATTCATTAATGTATATCTAATGCGACCTATAAAATCCTACATGATCCAGACCCTGCCTAATTCTTTGACACCATTTCCTCTCCACTCTTGCTCTGGCACACAGTACATGCTCAATATTAACAACAACAGTTAACATTTGTTGACTACATATTGTGTGCTCAGTATACTAATTAGTTGAATTAATTAGGTTATTTAATGATATAAACGATAGTTCTTAACATTTTCTGGATAAGTCACATGTTTGAAAATCTGGAAAAAAAGGCTATGGAGTCACTCCCCAGAAAATGTACATATTTATAAAATTTTTCAACATGTGTTTTTCATTAAACTGAATTTTCTTCCCACATACTCTAAGGGACCCCTATGGTCATAGCAGGATTATTTACAATAGTCAAGACATGGGAACAATCTAAGTGTCCATTGATGGATGAAGAAATTGTAAAAAATATATATATGCACACACACACACAACACACACAACAGAACAGTATTCAGTCATAAGTAAATTAGAAAATTCTACCATTTGCGACCTTGAAGGCATTATGCTAAGTGAAATAAATCAGAGAAAGACAAATACTGTATGATCTCACTTATATGTGCAATCTAAAAAACAACAAACTTACAGAAAAAGAGATGACACTTGTGGTTACCAGAAGTAGGGAGTGAGAAGAGGGGGAACTGAAGGACAGTGGTCAAAAGGTACAAACTTTCAGTTACAAGATAAGTAAGTACTAGGGATGTAACGTACAGCATGACAGCTAGAGCTAACGCTGCTGTATAATATACAGCAAAGTTAAAAGAGTAAATCCTAAAAGTTCTCATTAAAATTGAGAAAAATATTTTTTTTCTTTTGTTCTTTCTTTTCTTTTTATTGTATCTCTCTGAGAAGATGGATGTTAGCTGAATCTATGTATTTATTCTAAGGGAATTTCCAATGGCATTCTAATTGGTGAAGAACTCAACTCTAATAAACTGCCTTAACTAAAACATCCAAAAATGGTTTAAAAAAAATAAAAAGCTGTGTAAAACACAAAATGCCAATTTTCAAATTCCCATGGAATATTACTGATTGGAAATTCAATCATAACAAAAATAAACTTATCAAGGGTAGGATGAAACAACCAACAGGCATGGCCTTATGATACCACAGTCTGGGGCATTACTCAGACTCTGCTTACAGTGTTATTCTCATACATTAAGTAATTAATGGCTTTACTTAGATTTCCATTTTCTCCTTTTCAAAGAAATCCCAGCAAATTTGGCATTAAACAGACAAATAGTAAATGACCTAAATTCATTTTTATATGAAGATAATTTGAATTAAATCTTAAAGACAGAAACAGGTGGAACACTAAAAATAGAAGTGCAAGAGATAGGCAGTGGGATATTTTAGGATGAGGTACTTTGACATACTTATTTAGAAGCTAAATTTAAGTTCAAAGTGCTCAACTTGATTTTCGCTGATTAAAAAGACTAAGGAGAGAAAAGTGAAGTTCTGTTAAAGATTAGCATGAAAATTTTCAAAAATCAAGTGTGTAAATAGAATGACAGTGGAGATGGTTAGAAAGCCAAAGGAAAAAATATATATTTCCAATATTCTTCCTAGATGAAGAAAAGAAATTCAGAGAAGGCAGCGAAAATCAAACATAAGGGACAAAACTTAAAAACAACTTAGTAATAAACTAAAAATTTTAATAGCAACTACTTCTACTTCTACACATAACATAAAATCTACCTTGTTAACTAGTTTTAAGTGTACAGTTCAGTGGCATTAAGTACACTCACATTGCTGTGCAACCATCATCACCATCCATTGCCAGAACTTTTTCACCTTCCTAAACTGAAAGTCTGTACCCATTAAACAATAACTCCCCATTCCCTTGGCTGACATCTTCAATGCTTTTTTTTCTGGCAAGAAAAGCACATTTTAAACGAGAGCATCCAAGTAGAAGAAAGAATCACTTTTGATGCTCAACCCCCATAATTTTTTTCCAACACCCATTTCTTATACAGTATGTACCTGTACTCAAAACACTTAAGACTCAGTTAAAATTAGACTAATATGCAATTTATGTATATAGCTAATCATTCTTTCAGTAAATGTGAATCAAAGGCCTATTGCTTCCCAAGCACTGGGTTAAGCCCTATGATCCAGCTGTGAAAAAGACAGACTTGGAATTTACAATCTTTTGTGAAAGGGGCAAAGTTAACAGAATACCTACGCTGTCAATGAAGGTACTGAGATAGGCAATTTTAATAGTGTCTATCTTAAATATGGTGACTCTCTTAAATAATGGCGAAGAGGGACAACTCCAGACACTGTGTTCTGGGAAACCCTCTCTGGGAGGTGACATTTAAATGAGGCCTGAAACTGCCAAGTGTTTACTTGTTTGACTAATCTTTTCCTCTCCCAAAGCATCTAATATAATGCCTTTCATATAGCAGAAACTCAGTATAGCTTTCCTGGCCTCAATTTCCTCATTCCTGAAATGAACTTCTAAGATTCCTCCCAAACACAAAATGCCTTTGTTTGACAGAAAATTACCTATTAGTGAAATGGACATGGGGATGGAGGTGGTCAAAGCAAAAATTAAGTGAGTTCAGAAATGACTGCAAGACCCGAAACCTAAAGCAGAACCGAGCGCAAAACCCTGTGGGCATATCAAAACCATTCAATTGCTATCTGAGATGACTTGCATCTTAGACAACATATAAGCAGATATCGTTAATCCACTCAGCCTTAGAAAACAACACATGAAGCAAAATAGGCTGAGACGTGTGCACGACTACGTTAAAAAGCTCAATTCTCATTTTTCTCGGGACTCTCATTGCAAGGGACCGAGAGGGTCTCCTGCTTCTCCTGCTTCCTAGGCAACGGTCTCAATCTAAGTACAGGAGAGAATCACGTTTCTCTTGCATTTCAGTCCCAGGATTTAGTCAGCTACCAACCCTAGCTAGGGTTTAAGAGAATCGTTCCAGATGCTCAAAGAGAAGGGAATCGACCCTTCAATGGGGCCCTCTGAGAAGGAGAACGCTACACTAAGGCATCTCCTTTCCCCCAGGAGTATCTCCTTCTCGGCCCTCAACCTCACCCAAATGGGAATAAGGAGGGCCAGGGCGACCCTCCTCCTTTTGCCCAGAATGGGTCCCAAGCGGGTACCCTCCTCTACCCTCCTGTACACTGCAGAGAAACTGGGCACCCCTGGAACCGCTGTGAAAAACCGGAGGGCTGAAGACATACCCGCATCCTATGGAGAAGAAGTGGAAGGGGAAGGAGAGGAGCCCAAGAAAGAAGTATAAGTCCTAGGGGCAGACGGAGAGTGGAAGTTCCCAGAAGAGCATAGAAGGAGGTTGCAGGCGAAGGCTCTCTAAGCCGGCTCTTACCGTCTGTGGGAGACGCCATCTTCCAACCCATGTCACGTGACATGGCCAACCGTCGGCGGGAAAGCTAGGATCCACAAGCCACGCCCCCAAGGAGAAACCCTATCCCCCATCCGCTGCCGCGTCTGGTTTCCCCGTCCTATAGGGTAATCTTTCCTTAGCCCCGCCTCTAAGGCTAGCCTCACCCCCTCGCACAGTGGATGAGGTGGAGTTACTGCAAAATTCTTGGAGGGTCTTATTTACTTTCCTCAGTGAGTGGGTGGGGCCGCAGTTGCTTGTGGCCAATCGGAGTTCCGGGTGCGGGGGCGTCTTCCCGTGTGCTCAATATAGAGTACCCAAGTCAGGGGCGTCGTCCCTACCTCCGCCAACAGAATTTGTTGAAGTGGGAGGGGGCGAGAGCTCTATCACTTCTGGCCAATCGTATACCCCAGGACTGGGACTGAGAGGGTGGAGTCAGGTGTCAGGGCGAGTGATTGGCTAGGAGAAGTAGTCCTCTGCACCAATGAGGAGGTGCGGCAGGATGCGGGGGCGAGGCCTGGCAATAGTAGTGCTTCTGGACGCATTCGGCAGGAGAGGCGTGAGGGGCTGAGAAGAGGGACCCGAGAACCATGGCGGCGGTGGTGGTGGCGGCGGCGGCAGTGCGGGCCCGGATCCTGCAGGCGAGTGAGGATGGCGCTGAGGGGTCGCGAAACTAGGAATTGGGTCCTTTGCCTCCACTCTCTGACCCAACCCCTCCTTGGCCGACCTTCCTGTTCCCATCGGACCTGTGCGGCCCTAGCCCACTACTCACAGTATTATCCACCTTCGTTGGATCCAACTGGGGACTATCACCCCTGACCCTTTTTTTCTTGAGCCTCCCCTTTTCTGCCTTTGGCCCACTGTCCTCCTCCAGCCCTGCCCTGTCCCTGCTGTCACTCTCTTGCCCTCACCTCTCTTGGTCTGCCCACTGTCTTTCCCTTTCACCTCTGCACCGGCCACCTCTCTACCCAGAAACTCTCCTCGTCACCTTTCTTAGCGCTCTTTATCTGATAGAAGTTTCCAAATTATTCCCTTCCCCCACCCTACTTCACTGTCTACTATCGGAGGTAAAGGTGGGAGGAGGAGGCACACGAGGGGCGAGGGTCAGTGAATGAACTTTGAATCTCCTTCTGGAAGTGTACACTAGGTTTTCCCCCAAAGCAGCCATTTGCTGAAAATTGCTGAGCTATTTTTCACAGCTGCGGCTCTTTGTATTTTCCACAGTCTGTTGATTGTCCCCTTGCTTGCCAAGACTTCCAGTTTAACTTTCTCCCAGCAAAGTTACAGTGTTTATGTTGGCCATGAATAAGGACACATATTAATGTTACCAGTTTGCTCCAAGCACATGCAAAGGACTAAAGGTCTCTAAAACAGGTGATAGAAAATGAGAGCCAAGGAAGACAAGAAGCATAAGTTCCACATTCCCACTCCAAACTCAGCTCATAGTGTGACTGAACTCTGCCCACCGGGGTGGGGGTGGAAGTATTAGGTCTCTGAAATGCCTAAGGATAGGTGATCTAGCTACAAGAGCTGCATGCCTGAAGCATGTGCTTTCCAACTCTGCTCATACTCTTTCTCCTGTTGTTCACAGCCTAGCAAGGACTTAGATTATGAGGCAAGATTGACTGCAGGCTACATTCTCGAACCTGCAAGAAACAACTTTGCTTATCTTACACATTATATCCAGCCTGGGAACTTCTATATTCCCAGACTTGTAGATAATACTAGTATTTACCAGGTTTCAGTGAGTTCTAATGCAGAGACCGCATTTTTAAGATTCCTAGTAGAGTCAGCAAAGATTCCTGTTTAAATGTGCTATTTCATGGGACAGTGAGGAGAATGGGTTGGAAGGTTTGTCAAATGATCTGGCTTTACTCATATATTTCTTGATGTGATCCTAGTTTTGTTTATCTATTTTTTTTTGCAGTAGTAGGGAAACAGTTTCCACACTATATTTTCCATTACCAACTTCTTCTCAAAATCTTTTACTGAAATTGACTTTTTTCCTTTGACTCCCTGCCATCATGCATCATTGAGAGCCTTAAGAAGGTATTTTGTCCTTTGCATCAAGGAGAAGAATCTCCCTTCCCAAGTACTTTATTTTGGAAATAGGCACTATCTTCTGATTCATTTGAAGAAACTCTGAGTTGACCTGGAAAAGAACAGAAATAGTCATTCGTAGCCAACTAGAAGTTGCTGTAACATGACACTCTGATAAAGAGTAGTCTAGATTCTGGCGGTCATGAATTTTGGAGAATTCTTAAGGATCTGTAAAGGAGAGAATTCATGTTTTCAATTATTTTAATTATTCAGCATCTTTTATGGTGGCTGGTAAAACTTACCTAAAACTTCTGCTCCTTGTGATATTGTCACTCCTATCTGGAGATAAGAGAACTGGTCTGAAAGTGACTCAATGACTTTCCTCAGTGATGTGGTAAAAAGAGCACAGGCGTCACTGTCGTCCTTGGATTCAATCCCAGCTCCACCACTCCCTAATTTTAAGAATATTTGTGAAGATTAGAATTAATGAATGTTCTTGAAGTAAATTACCTGATACTAAAGATATTCAAAGTCTCCCAACTAGTAACTGATGGGGCTGAGGTTTCAGGATTTAAGTCTTGGAATCTCTTTCTGTGTCAGGCATTGTCCCAAACTTTGGGAAAGGAGAGATAAATAAAATACTCTTTGAAAGCTCCCCTGTTGTAATGCAATGATAAATGCTAAGCAATAGGTGTGCACAGGGTGTTGTAGGAACATTGGGAAACCTGTGCAATTCAAGAAAAGCTTCCCAAAGGGGATGATCTGGTTTTGAGTCTTATAAGACCAGGAGGCTTTAGCCAGAGAAGGGAGTTCCTGGTAAAGGAAATGGCAAGTACAAAATAAACATCTAAAGAGTAAGAAGTTTGTGGAACTGGACATAGGATAGCTTTTTCAGCAACAGTGCTAATGAGTGTTTCTCAGGAAATGAAGAAAAGAGAGGAGATCTAACCTGTCAAAACTATATGATAATGTTTTATTATACCAGATGCAGTGCCTTTTATGCCTTCTTGACAGCAGAGAGCCTATGTGCAAGGGACAGAATAAAACTAAGTGGCCTAGAATGTTCAAGTTGGCTGATCCATGCATTTTCTGCCCTGTAAGAGAATTTACATGAAACAAAATTAGTATCAAGCAATTGCTTGGTGAGTACTCATTCTTTCATTTTGCAAAATATTACTGAGCACTTAGTCTAGTCCAGGAATGGTATGAGGGCCTAAGAACACAACTGTCTAGTGATCTAAGGGGAAAGAGAGAGAGACTTAAACAAGCTATTATTCCTAATATGATATGAAAACTAGAGGAATTCAGGTGTTATATGAACTCCATAATCAAGTACTTACCCTAGGTCTGAGATTGAGATTTAAGAACTTCCAACTCAGCTACTTCCCTCTCACTCTCAAGAGTTAACCTTGTTTTTCTTACTTCAGAGAAAACAAAAACTATCAGATGAGAACTTCCTCAACTTCCTGCTAGGAAGCCTACAGAACTGACCTGCACCTGCACCCAAAGAGAGAGCTAAGGAATAGATGCGAGCCAAGCAGCTTGGATGAAACAGTTCCAGGCAAGAGGGGGCAGCGTGTGCAAGGGCAGTGTGAGCACAGAACATGCCCCGAATGGCTATAGCATAGAGAGAGCAAGGAGGAAAGCAGCAGGCTAGGAAACTAGAAAAGTCAAGATATTATGTAGTCTTCTAAGCAACATTTAGAGCTTTATCCCAAGGGCAGTGGAAAGCCATTGAAGGGTTTTAAACAAAAGAGTGATCTGACCAGGTTTTTGTTTTACAAAGACCCTCTGTCTATGGGATAGAAACTAGATTCAGAAGGTTTAAGACTGGAGGCTGGGAGACCTGTTAGGAAACTATTATTGAAGTCCAGGTGAGAGTCAATGATGGTGTAGACTAGGATGATGGTAGGAGGGGTAGAGAAAAGGGAGTACATTCCAAAGTCTTTGGGGAGGACACATTGCCAGGACTTACTTCATTCACTGAGGAGCTCTTTCTCCTTGGGGAGGAGGAGTTGGGGTGACATTCAGGTTTCTGATTGGGCAATTAGGTGGATAGGAGCCCCATTCACTGAAAAGCGGCCTATAGGAAGCAGAGCCAGTTGATGGAAGGAAGATGAGGTGGTCAGCTTTTTCAACATGTCTCTAAATAACATCCAACTAGAAATGTGGTGAAGATGTTATGTGGGTATTACCTGAAGAGGATGATTCTGGTGAATTATAGATTTGGGCATCATTGAGATCTAGATATTTAAGCCACTGGAGTTGATGGAATAACCCAAGGAGAGCTGGGAATGCTCCTTGTTCAGGAACTTGAGCAGTTAGAGGCCAGGTAGAGGAGAATGAACCAGCAAAGAAGGCAGAGAAAAAGTGGCCCAAGTAGATATTTATTGAACACCTACTGTGTACCAGGTACTCTGTTGGTATTGGGAACGTGACTATAAATAAGATAACAGTGGTCTCCAGGAGAGTTGATAGTTTGAAAAAGCTTTTGTGGGGAATGGGAGGGGAAGTGGACTAGGCATTTGGAAGGATTGTCTGCTGGCCCAAAGGACCAGCACCCTTTCCTCTGGGCAATGCGGTCGGCACACAGATTCTTGTACTTCATACAGCCCTGTACCCTTTGGTTAACACAGCATCTCTTCACACAAGGTAATAGATTATTAGATTGCAGGTTCCTTTTATATTGCAGTCCTGAGTATTTCAGTTTGCTCACTTTGATTAGACTTCAGTATTTCTTAATACAATTTCCATAGCATATATGCAAACTGTTTTTTTGAGAGAGTGACTCTAAGAGACTATTATAACCCCATCCCCTGCCATTTGTTGATTCTACCCTTTTAAATATTATCTATACAACACATTCTTTTCCTGTTAGGTACATGTAGCATTTTTTTAAAACTGTTTTATTGAAATAAAATTGACATAAAATAAACTACATATTTTAAAGTATACAGTTTGATGTTTTAATATTTGTATACACTTGTGAAAACATCACAATCAGGACTATGAACATAACCACCCCCCTAAAAATTTCCATTTTATCCCCTTCTCCCTCTCTCCCCCATATCTCTAAGCAACCACTGATGTACTTTCTGACA